TGATGGGATTAAGTGCCTCTTGAAGTGACTTTAGCTTCTTGTGGGAACAAAGGGAAAGAAGAGAACACTTAGTCCCTTTTTGAGTGAACAGCCTTTTTTCACTTGCTATATAAAGAAATACAATTAACAAACATTATCCCCAGAGGTGAATTGAAATGTACGTGCGGACAATAACCGCATTAGACATATATGATCCGAGGTATTTTGGCCATTCATTAGTGCTAATTGTTTGAGAAACAAGCCCACAGAACAAATGATTAAAATGTTAGTGCCATAACCAGGATTATTAGCATGTGTGATAAAATGCATGCGCCGCAGCTGTACCAATAAAACTCTCTGGCGAGTCGCTTTGATTCTACAAATACTCTGCTCGGCTGCGAGCCCTTCCTATTTGCACAGGGCCTGCTGATATTTATAACAAACAACTTATATCTTCTTTTCTTAATTAGAAAGAATTACTATGCAAATTGCAGGGCTTTGTAATTTCGAAGAAGTTTCCTTTGTCTTTGGTGGATTATTTGTGTGTGGTTGTGAGCTACTCCCTAGAAAATCCAACATAGCAAACCCATTATATTTACTCTGGGTTGGGGTTTTCTTCACATATTAGAGAAGTAATTTGGAGGAGATTTTGCTGCATTAGGTGTTTCATGTTCAGTGGTCTTGGTTCACTTCTGTCCTCCTGCCGTAGCACCACAGATAGCCAGGATTGTGGTTGGTATGCAGTTATGTGCATACAGGTCAGAAATACATGTTGTGGAAATTATCCATCTTTTTTAATGGTTTTAGTCAGATGCTGAGAAACGGTCTTTGGAAACACTTTGGCAACACTGTGCCAAAGATTGTAGAAGTAGAGGTTTGGCACTTCGCTAAGTGCCTTGAGCAATCGATGTTTTTCCATGCTTTCGGTGGATCACGGTGTAGCGTCTCTTCCAGGGATGATTTGATGTAGCAAATAAACGGGAAACAGAGGCACAGGTTAAAGCACTGATCCTGAAAATCACTTGTGGGAGTACTTTATTTTGTGAGCTATACGCTGTTGGCTCTGATGAGACTACACAGGTGTGTGCAGTTAAGTATACGTGTGAGTATGAGCAACACTGGAATGTGAAAATGCAGTTTACAACAGGGAAATGCGTATAATTTGGGGCAATTTCACTGGTTGCAGCCACACTGTATGGCTGCCATTGCAAAGTGCAATGTCTCTTAGTAGTCAAAAAGGTTTTCTTTTCTCCTTCCTGAGGATGAACTATTTGCTCTTGGGTGAAACGGTTCTCAGAGGATCACGAGTAACTTTAACTCACCAGCTACTTTTGCATATTTGATGAAGACTTTAGTAGAGTGTTATGTTTGCTGAAGAAATTTAGTTTCATTTCCAAGACCCAAGAGCATTCAGCATGCTGCTAGATGCTATGAATGAAAATATGCTGCTGTAAAACAATTTAATGAGCATTACCCAATAGCCTAGTCCTTGTTTTAACTTAGAGTGCTTAAAGGAAGAAACATTGTCTTAGCAAATTCTCTTGGCTTATGTCCATGTGTTTAGTTTAAAGCATAGTCAAGCTTAGTTTGAATCATTAAAATACTTGCAGTCAGGAAACATATGTAAGATTTTCTTCCTCTTTACAGCACACAGTTAACAATATAATTGAGATTGTAGTGCTGTGTGGGGTTTTTTGTCCTAAAAAAGTAACCACTGGGGATGTTTTTATTCTATCAAAATAACAGAAGTTGAGATAATCAGGATAGTGTTTCCTACCACAGCAGCTAACTGCTTATATGCATAGCACCCTGGGCCTTGCTGCTGTTTTAAAAAGGTTTATAAGCAAATGGATTTCTTAATAAATTCAATTCTTCCTCTACATTTCATTTTATTGTAGAACATAAAAGTTGACTACACAAGGAAACTGCAGAATGAGAAGATGATTTTTTAGGAATATATGTCAAAATAATAGCATACAAAAACATTTACTGTAGTCACACCTAAGCATACTTGTTGAAAACTCTTATTTTACATGTGCTTTTCTAGACATCTTTGTTTTGAGAGGAGAAGGATGCTGTGTTGGTCCACTGGCACCAGCTCCTCCTGTACAGCTTTTTGCTGGCCATACCTGTTGAAAAAATTATTGCTTCTTCAACTTGCTGAAATATTCCATAAGACTAACAAATTGACACATTAACAGTATATTTTTATAATAATCTGAGTCCTGAGAAACCTGTGGTTTAGGCCTATGTGGCTACAACATTGATTAGCTGAGGAGGAGATACTGATAGTCAGCAGGTGATAGTATTTCTAACATTAAGCCTATCGGGTGATGGTATTTTAATGGATTAAATCTACCACTTCTTTGGAGTTGGGTGATTTGCTGTGGAAGTTATACTGCTCTCCCATCTAAATGAAAGTTTGTAGACCTCAATGGTGACAGCTAACTATATCTGGTCTGGAGGTAACAATGTGTTTATCTACCTGATACTACACACCATTGTGCATGGTAAGTAGAGCAGAGCTGCCTTTATTGGGCTTGCAGCAGTGAGAGGGAAACCAGCCAGTCAAACAGCCATTGGTTCGATGACAGCTCAGAAGAAATCCTGGGAAATGTGTGACTGGAGATACATCTCATCTCAGCATGCTCTGAGATTATGGTGTTAGCCACTGTCTATCAGGTTTCTGGGGTTGGAGAGTTGGTGAGAGGCAGTCATTAAGGGTGCTTGAGGGGCTGCTTGGCTCTAGGCTGGAGTTAACTGTTAGTGGGCTGAGCTTTTTGACTCCTTTGTGCCTTTGGGAACTACAAGGTTGAAGCCATCAGAGAAAGAGAATAGAAACTAATCACTTTTGTCCCCTCATATATGTTCAGTGAAGGACTGCAGACTTCTTTACTGACCTCTGTGTCAGACTGAAACAAACCCCTCCTCTTTCCATTTGAGATAAACCACTCTTCCACCTCCTCCTTGCTCTCCCAAAGTATGCTATTGCAAGAAAATGGGATTAAGTGGATTTTACTAGCAGCCACTTGATTTGCCACAAGTTGTGTTACCATCCCCACTTCAACGTGAAGCAGGGGACATCAAGTGGTTTGTGGGAGAGGGGCAAAGAGGGTACTTAGGAGAGACTCAGTGGATGTCAGTTGCATGTCTGCAGGTGTTGTCAGGACCTCCACCACCTGAGTTTGGAAGCTGCTGATGAAGAAGATTTATTAGCAAAGGTAGCACTGGCACTTGGAATAAAACAATGTGTCATTTCTGTGTAACACCAAAGAAGCCCCCTTTCTTAGGCTGAATTAAGCATTACCAGGCATGTTACAAGAAAGAGTCTGGCAGTGGGTTTTTGTGGGCTTATAAAGTAGATCCACCCAAGACATGCACAGACACATCAGAGGAGGTGGTGGAATAGTTGTCCTTTTCAATTTAGTTTACTGAGATAAAATGTAATAAAAGCTTTCTTCATCTTTTCAACCCAAGACTTACATTCAGTTTTTAGGGTGCATGCTGTAGGGGAAGAGAGGGTTCTTCTATGGGCTTAGCTTAGAAAGGTAAGTGTTGTAGTGGTCTGTCAGCCTCACACCATGTTGGCTGTGATTTAGATTGACTGACCTCATTTCCAAGCATTTTGAGAGGGTTAGTCATGTTCAAGTCGAAGAAAACCCACGTGCGTATGTAGCCATGTGTCATCCAAGTGCAGCAACTTGGGAAGCATTATTAAAAGGGGCATAGGAAAGCGCATGGGTCCCTGACATGATGCGATAATGACATGTTCAGCATGGTGCTAGAAAAGCTTTGCATTATTCAAAGTGCTGAATAATATACATGATAATGCATAATGGTGTTATATGGTAGGATTATTTTGTGGAATAAGTGACTTGTGTTCTGAGTATGAAGGCAAATTGTATTACTTTGTCCTCATTTTTCATATATGAATAGGCCTGGGGGTACAGTGTGAAACGGGGAGGAACAGGAGCAGGCAGAGGGATTTTTTTGGAGGGCCATGGAACACAGAGGCACCCTCTGCAATTTATTTCTCTGTGCTTATAATTACGGTGCAAAGCAAGCTCCCTAGGGCACTCAGGGCAGCCTCCCCCAGCAGCCCCACTGCCTCCAAGTGCACCAACCCAGATCATGCCTAGGGTGGGTTAGATGGTCCCTCACCGGGAATACTGGCACAGGGTGAAGACTGCCACAAACCTGACACCTCCAGTCCATGCGGATGCCACCTACTCAAGCTGTGGGGCACCACAGGCTCACACCTGCACCAGAGTGTGGTGCACAAAACATTTATAGACTTTAAAAGGCACCGCAGTCAACAGCCTGCTGATGGGTTTCTGAGCTCTGTTAATGGAAGTTGTGCTGTGGATCTGGAAGTCTGAAGGCTTCTGAGAGGACGTGTTTGGATTAGAGAGGTTCCACATTACATGAGGTTTTCATTCCTGTTTTCCTCGTTTCCCCCTCCATCCATTTTGCTTATTTAAAATTTGCATGCAAATGTGTTTGTTGATATAACGCGAAGGTTGCAAAATCAACTCTGCAAGCCCATGTTTGTTTTAACCAACACCCCTGCTTCATTCACAGCATGCTGTCCAGCTCCAGGAGCAAACGTGGCAGATAGCAGCCTCCTCCTAAAGCAGTCCTGATCTGTTCCCAGCACAGCCTCCATCCTATGGAGGAGTCCTATGACAGGGGGAAAAACCAACCACCACCCTTCTGTATTTACTACTTGCCGTAGTGCACAGAACGGGCAGCATGATTAAGGCTGCACAGATAACCTCAGCCCTGTCAGTTCTTCAGTTCTCAGTGTTTAAGTCTGCAAGTTCTGTTGAACATAGCAGTTTTGGAGTTTTTTACTGTAATACCGATACCTCCCTACCTCGACTCTTCCTAAGGAAAAAAGAATTTATAAATAACCCAAAACCAGCCACTGACTAGGTAGGAATGTTTCTCCTTCAAAATATAGTCTACTATTCTTTACAGCATTGTAGCCAAGAGTCTAATCTCAAAAATGTCCTTTACAGGGTGGATTCTTCTCTGCCAGCTGGTGTTCCTAAGCTTAGTTACCGCTTTGCATCATCTCACAAGTACGTTCCCAGGCGAGCTGTGCTGTATGTACCTGCGGATGATGAAAGGAAGATACAAAAAATCCCATCACTAAACGTAGATTGTGCAGTGCTGGACTGTGAAGATGGTGTGGCTCTGAACAGAAAGGTAATTAAAAATAGTCTGTGTGATATAATCAGTGTTGAAGAGAACTTGTGGAAAAACATTGGGAAAGCAACAACCAGAGAGACAAAGCTAAATCTTAAGATACACAAAGTAACGTAAGAGTGGTAGGCTTTGTGAAGGGAAAATCTGCTTGCCCAGGACTGAAAGACATCCCATGTGCGTAAGTGATGGGGGAGTTTTGAAGAAGTACAGAGCTGGGTGTACGCTTTCATCATAGAAGAGTGGGAGACACTTGTTACTGCTGCATGTTTCTTAAGGAAGAGGAGGAAATGGTCTGTGAGAAGAGAAGCAGGAAAGGAAGAGTTCGTTCAGAATCACTAGGTGGGGGGTTTGCTGCTGAAATGAAAGCATCTTCAGATTGTGAGCAAAACAGCATGGGTTTGAGTTTGAGCCTTGGGGTGTTTAGAAAGATTTTCTTCCTGAGCTTTCTGGAGGAAACGCTGTTAGGAATGTTTCTGAAGGAAAGAGAAGTTAGAACCTGAGTGTACCAGGGTTTGAAGAGCAGTTTAGACTGATGGAGCTGCAAGAAAGCGGGGAGATAGACGTGAGATATGTCAAGTACCGGTGTCAAGATTTCATTGACATTGAATTGTGAAAGAAGAGAGAATGATGTAGCATGCATTCGGGTTTGCTTGCAAGCAAGTTTTTTAAATATATTAAAATAACCATTTTAAAATATTTCACATCTGAGAATCATTTAGGTAGGAAAAGACCTTTAAGAGTCTAACCATAAACCTAACACTGCCAAGTCCACCATCTTAAACAATCTATAGGAGAAACTGATAAAAATGTTTCCTGGTGAAAGCTATGTCTGAACAGGAATGTAGGCTTGCTCTCACATTATTTTCATATTTGTCAGTTTTCCAATCCATGTTAGAGTGCTTCAAACTACAGCGAACAGTGTTTAGGTTTCAATATGAATGTGTTGTCCAGGAAGGTATGAAAATAGGCTTGAAAATTTTACTGTGTCATCTCAAAAATGTGGATGAATTTTTTCGGGTATTGGTTTTGGTTTCTTTGTTTTGTTTTGTTTCTTGGGAGTTAATGCTTTCCAGAAGGACTTTCTCGCATAGTGCTCTCTTTAACCTTCAGCTCTTTACAGGTATATTGGAAAGAAAAAAGTTTACAGAGTTTGCATATATGTATTTTAGTTCTGAAAAGTGACAGTAGCACCTCTGGATGTTTATGTGTACTGCTGAACACAGTTGGAAAACATTTTCCTGTTGCTAAAATTCTGTGTGAAAGACTGAGATTATATCTGCTGTCACAGTGAATTAGTATTGTTTAGGTTATATCTGGGGGGCTGCTGCTGTAAGATAACACAAGACACAATTGTGTATTAAACTGTAGTATTTTTAGGTGCAGCTTAATTATATCAAACAAATAATTTATAGCAGAAGCATCTATTTGTAACAGAAAATGACAGCAAAAAATATTTTTATGATCGAAGGTGACAGAGTTGGTAGTAGTAATTTCTAACAGGAGGGAGCCCAGGCAGGGCCACCAATGTGGTCATGGCATGGGAGGAGAGGTTGAAAGTGCCTCAGAAATGTTGGGTTTGGGGAAAATCAGGACCTGGTTGAAGGTTCACAGTGCCTTGAGCCAAACTTACCTGTCTGCAGAAGGCTTTTACTTATGTCAAGTACAAGCAGCAAGTTTGAACCACATGTTAACAAGTCCATTTTAACGAGATGCTCTGTGTTTTGTATCAAGATTAAGTTAGATTTGGAGAGATCAAGAATCTGGAATATTGGCAGCTCCATTTGGTTGCTCATTTAGAGGGAAACAAGGAAGATGAGCTTCCTATGTCTGAAACTGGTAACATCTGCAAAACTGTGTTTGGTTTTGTAGCTGCTTTTGAAGCTGCAGTCATAAATTAAAAATCTTTATTTTCTAAACAATATTTTCTCTCAAAGAAATTTCAGAGGCTATCATCCCCTCACAGTTATGGTTTGTAATGGCTCACAGAAAGCACCAGAAGAGGGGAGGCCATACCCCAAACTGTATACCATTTTGGTGCCTGCATTTCTTAGCTTCAGGAACTACAGCACTGACCATGATTTCAGGTATCATCATCTGCTGACTCCTCCTTTTTCTCAATCTTTTTTTCTAGCTGATATTTTGACTAAATCAGAAAAAAAATCAAAAAGCAAACCGTGCAGAAAGAACTTCACAAGGAAAAAATTTCTCAGCGAATCTTCTGAGGGGAACCAGTGGGAAGAAACAGCTAAAAAGCAAAGTTATAGTATGCTGAATACTGAGCCTGCAAGTAGGGTGAGAGCTGATCCTGGTGTGAGAGTAGGACACATGGGGCTTTTGCAACCCCTCCTGGGACTGGACAGAGCTGTGAAGTCTTCAAAAATTCAGAATAGGAATTCAGATAGGAAGATATCCCAGTGTTGCTGAAAATTTCAGCCATCTTTTACAAAGCTAGCTTTAGTCTTGCTGAACATACCCTGCTAGTCATGCTGACCTCAAATCCTGGTTGGAGCTCCACACGCTGTTTTTAGAGGTTGAAATGGTTAGTGTCACATGGAGTAGACTGCCAGCTGTCCTTCCAGTGTCTGGCTCTGTAAGACATTGGGAATTTCTACAACAGAAATTTAAGGTTTGGATGGGGGGGGAAGTGAATACTACTGAAGGGAAATTACTTTCCCTGAGCTCCTATTCACAGATGAAGGTAGGAGCTCTTCCCCACTGATGTACATGTAAAGTTTCTCCAGTGTTGCTATACATTTTAAAGAAATTACTCAGAATGTCTTGCTTGGCGATATTTTTAAGTGAACAGTTGAAATAGGAATTCGAACGTTATAAAACTAGAAATAATACAGATTGCACTGCTGTTATGTTGCAAATGCATCATGCTCTAGAGACTTTTTGTTAAATGGTGCAAAAATAGCCTATGCCTATTTTAGCTCTTCACAGGAGAATGAATATTCTTTCATTTTAATTATAAGAAATAAAAAGATAAAAAGAGTGGCTGCACCAACATGCTTGAACATGTAAGCCAGAAAGCTGAATTGCATGTTATACCACTGAGAGCTCTGTGTAGGAGCTGAGCTGTCTGAAGATACCTCAAGGGCTCTCAGCAAAGCCAGCACTCCCTGGTATAGCTTTCTCTGTAGCGCTGCATTACTCACTGTACTTCCATGCCAGGTGAACCTATTACGAGGTGGAGAAGTCTCCTTCTCCTGTTGGAGAAGGGAAGATTTCCATGTCAGTGCTTTCATTGTCCAAGGATGGAGTGGGCTAAGGTTTCGTAGTTGGTTCCCATGGGTCTAGTAAGGTTACCACCCTTACAAGAGAGCTTTCTAGAACAGCATTTTTTCCAGCAGGATCCTGTCTTCAGTGCTGCTGTTCTTCAGAGCATCCAGGACATGTCAGCTGCCAGGTCAGCCTAGCAAGAGACCAGTTTGAGCTGCTATTGCATTGTTCATGCCTCTTTCTGAGTCCTTGAGAAGAGTTTCAGAGCATTTTAATGCCTGCAAACCACTGCTATTAGTGGCTTTATCTTCACTGACGTCATTAGGACGGTTTTGAATAATTGGGATATACGGTGCCTTTCTCTGTAGCTGTCTTTAGTCTGCTATCAGGCCAGGTAGGGCACAGTCCCTTCTGCCAAAGATGACCTTTGAAAATTATCTCAGGCAAATTTTGAAGGGTTTAGGTTTCAGCCTTTTCTTTCCATTGAGAATGCCAGTGTTATAATTAAGAATCGAAACAAAACCCCTCCTCATGTTTTTTGTATCAGAGGTGTAAAAGCAATCCCTTGGAGTGTACATATGGCTGGGAAACATCTGTGTGGTCCTTTGACACAAAACAGTTGAAAATAGGAAATCTTATTGTTGTTCCTCTGAAACTAAATAGATCTCATTCATCCAGTAAAAGTTATTGATATTCAGGATTGTGATTATATCACTTTATCTCTTCTAGAAAGAAGTTGTTCTCTCCTCCAACACTTGAGCAAGAGAAGCTGGGGAACAGGAACCTCAGCTCTGTCCTTTTCATCACATCTCTTCCTCAGGAGGGGAAACAGCAGCTCATGAGCCTCTTCTGTTCTCCCTGCTCCTCTCAGAAGTGAGGGCAAGTTCAGTTGGGCTAAGAGGATGGATAGGGAAGGACTTATTTTGCTTATCTGCAGCATGGCCTTTTAGGGTCATAGCATAAATTCGTTCCTACTTAATGTCTTGTAGCCTGTTAAAAGATCATCGCTGTGCTGTGCCTCAAAAGAAAAAAAAAAACCAAACAATTAATTCTTTTGAATTGCCTGTTTCTAAAAATAAGATTAAAGCCTGACCACTTTTCAAACTGTTCCATTATGAATAACACATACGTAAGAGATGACTCTGGGTTCATTACAGTTAAGAGCAGATCATCCACATACACGCTGATTTTATGGAGATTTCTCCCTATGAGAATGCCTCCTCCGTCTCTCTAGTGATCTGATCCTGGGGTCAGAACAAACAGCATGCCAGCGAGAGAGCATCCTTGCCTACCATTTTTCCCCTAATCTGAGACCTTCTGAACTTTTTATTCCTTATCACTGATGAGAAGAGGTTCTTGCATGTAAAATAACACTTCAACTAAATTTGGGGGTAGAGATAAATACATAAAACAGGTCAGCATGGTATACAAAGAAAAAAAAATCCTTTCCTTACTGAAATGCATTTCCTTACTGATCTCACTGAAGGCTTTTACAGTATCAGCGGAAAAAAGCTGCAGTTGGTTTCCATAAACCTCTAGCTACTTCAATTACAATCAACAGTTTTCCTGCATTATGTGATGATAATATTTTTTTTTTTAATAAAGCCGAGCTGGTTAGGATTTATCAATGCCACAGGTATGTCGCTAGGCTCATAGTGAGAATGTTAGCTAGTACTTCACAGGCACAGTTGCATGAAACATTGATAACTAGGTTATTTTACCAGGTCTTTGCTTTATTTGTAATAAATTAGTACTGTACCTAATTGTATTCCTCCTAC